TCCAAATGAGGGGTTTGATGAATATTTTAAAGGTGCTACTGATTTGGGTATTGGTGATGTGTCAATTATAGAAATTGTTGAATCAATTGGTGGAAAAGTGTCTAAGGTGCAAACTAACCATAATATGTTTTCCCCTATTCAAAAATTACTGTTTATCTTTGTTCACTTGGCCATTGTTCCTAGAACCCAACATAAACATGAAGCCAATCATCTTGATGCCATGCTTATGTATTGCCTTGAAAACAAAATTCAAATAAACTTTCCCTCCATCATGATAAAACATCTAACCCATTGCCTTGAAAACCATTTGAAAGTTGGATATGCTAATTTGATAATCACTCTCATAGAGAGTTTTAGTATCAATACCTCAAACTATGAACACCTTAAACTTCAAACCAACCACTTTGTTCAACCCAAAACTCTAGAAAGCAGAAACTTGCATGTTGTGGATGGCAAGACTCAGTTTCTTCCAAAAACCCTTCCCAAACCAAAACAAGATGAAATCAAGAAACTGTATGTGGAGGATGAGGTGAAGAATTGGCTGGAGGAACAGGAGAGTGAGAGTGAGAAATAAAATAAGGAGAAAATTAAGGAGTCAGAAAAGAAAGGGAGTGCTCCAAGTGAAGTGAAAAGAAAAAGTGTCAGGTTGGCTTTTAAGCCAAAGAGAAAGAGTGAAAAGGCATAATCTGTCCCATATGTGGATCTAAGTGAGGAGAAATTAGGTGCTCAGGGGGAACAGGGCACCATGGAACAGCATTCAGTTGAAAAGTCTTTTCCCACAAGTACTGGATTTACTGCTTTTAGTTCCCTCAGCTCAACTATGGAACTGAAAGCTCTCAAGGAATCAGTAAAACAGATGACTGATGCCCAACCTCTTCTAATTCAAAGGCTCGAGGCTCTTGAGAAGACAGTGGCTGATCTAGTGAAAACCTCCAAGGAACTCACTTCATCCTTCCAGCAAAGCACTTCTGCTATCTCTCAAGGTCATGCTGATTTGTTGAAGAAACTTGAAGAGATGGTCCTTGAAGCAGTTCCAGATGAGAATGCAGCTGACGAGCACCAGTCCTCAGCACCTGAAGCTTAATCTTATTTTCTTTCTGCCTACCCTATGAAACTATTTCTTTTGAACTTGGTCTGTATTAAACTCGGTTTTATTTTGCTTCTTTTGGTCTGTAAACAATTAAACAGGGTATTTTGCTTTTGTTTTTGATGTTCTGGAGGAACATCAGTTTGTTTATATGGATGTTGCTTGCTTGCTTTGTGACTATTTGCCTACTGTTTCTGCCTATATGTGCTTTGTTCTGTGCTTTGGACACAAACCATTACAATGGTGCTGTGTTTAGATATATATGTGCATTAATTTTGATGAAAGTTAAAAGGGGGAAAATAAAGGCAAACTCAATTGTTGACAAGCTCTCCATCCATCTTCATGTTGAGGTATATCATCAGTCTCAAGTCTCAGTTCCTTGTTTTGTAGATATTTCTAGTTAGTTTTTTTACTAAACTTTAGTTTTGTTTTTTTTGTTTTGTTTTTTTTTTCTCTGATTATCACTTCTTTATTTTACTGAGTTTTCTTAGGTTTGTCATTCATCAAAAAAGGGAATATTGTTGACCTTAAGTTTTGATGATGACTCAAAGAACCTAAGCAAACCCATATAAGTTTAAATTTCATTTTTAGCTTTGATTAATGACAGGTTTATGCTATGACGTTCTTGAGTAAGAAGGGAGCATGGAACAAGATCTAAGTTATCTATGGGAGGATAAAGAAGTCAATCACAAGTCGTGTTCCTTTAGTGAGGAACTGAAGCTCCAGAGTTGAAGCTTCGAAAGCTAGTTCCTTGAGTGAGGAACTGAAGTTTCAGAGTCGAAGCTTCACAGAGTATCAAGGAGTCTAATGTATTTTATCTTTACTTTAGGCTACTTGTAATTATGTTAAGTACAATGATTATTGATAGGATTTAAGTGGATTTAATTTTATTTGATAAAGATTTTATTTTCCATATTTCAACTGATTTAATTTCGAAAATATCTTTTATGTTAAAATATCTTTTTGGTTAAAAAGATTTTCTGTTTTGATCTTTTCTTATTCTTTGGAAAATCTGACTTGGAAAATTTTCTTTCAAACGTGTGTTTTACCTTGTCAAAAGAAGTTGAGAAAAATAAGGAAGCCAGTTTAACCACTTCCTTATAATTCGATTGACTTGTTGCCCAAGCTCTCACGAACTGTACTTCCTAGTTTTATGGAAGTTGTGGATTAGTGGAGATTAAGGCAAAACGTAAATGTTTTAACTTCCTTCTCTGCCTATAAATATATTTTAGTTTTCTGTTGAGAAAAACACGCTTGAGCATTATAGTATTTTAACTTTCAAAAGAGTCATAATCCACTGAAGTCCTTGAGTGTCTTTGTACTTAGAAATTTAGAGTTTAATATTGAGTTGTATTGGGATAGAGTTTGGGGAAACTCTAAGAGTGTTTTATTGCTTTGAGTGAAGCAAGGAGAAATAGAGAGTAAGAGAGATCGACTGATTGAGGGATCAGTTGAAGGGAGCTTAAGTTCGTTGAGGAACTTGAGTTTAGAGTCTTAATTTGTAATAGGTTGTTTTCCCTATTACTGTTAAGAGTTGAGTTTAAAATCCCTTGTGGTTGTGGTTTTTCTTCTTGATTAGGGCCAAGAAGTTTTCCACGTAAAATCTCTCTTTGCACTTTTAGTTTTTGTTTGAGTTCCTTTATAAATTCCGCAAAAATTACCCTAGTTCCTCTACAATACAATTCACCCCCCTCTTGTATTGTTCATTCAAGTCAACAACCGCCTTACCCTTATCCCTTGTATCAACTTATAGATCTACCTCAAATTGAAGAAATTGATGATTATTCAAATAATCTATCTTAATTTTTTCGACAATGAATGCATATATTCAATTATATTCTTCTCCTTATGTAGAGTATCGATTTTAAGGGGCTTTTTTCCCCATATGTTACATGTTTGATGTTTCGATTGGCAATTAAGGGTTTTTGTTTGTTTGATTTTGTTTTTAAATATGTAATTAATGATATATTTTATATTTATGTTCCTTTTTTTCAAGGATTTTGGGGATTTCATGCCAAATTATGTATCTTCTTTCCCTTCTAGTTCAGTTGTTAATTGGTTCTGCCTTTTAAAATTTTGCATAAATCAATATATTGGTTTTTCTTTTAATAGTTGTATGATTTTCATTTCTATGAATTTGCATTACTTGAAATTAATAGATGCTTGTAGCATAATTATTATATAGGTAATTAGAAAGGTTAGTAAGGATAGTTTATAATTTTATCCATTAACTAATATATAGTTTCTTGCTATGTGATCTACAAGGTTGGGGATACTCCAACAGTGACATCCGAGGATATCTTGGGACTCTCTGTTTTGCAGGTGAATGTAGTTTAGTTGCATTTGACTCTATGTTCACAAACACTATGATCATATTCTTAAGAAGAGCACCTTGAGAGAAATCAGAGGATAAAGACTATAGTTTAATGATCATTTGACTCCTAGAGTATGCGGCATTGGCAAGTTTGTCACAAATTACTCACATATGAATCATCACACAACAAATAAATAAATTAATTCAATATCACATAAAAAATAATAATGTGTCATGGGTGTGTACGTGTGTTTCAGGACTGCTACCTAGAAAGATTAGGGAAGTTGTTCATAGTGCACGCACCAAAAATCTTATATAATTTGGAGTTTCTTTGCCGAAAACATCAAAATCTACTTCAGATCTAGAGGTAGGAAGTTGTTTTCTTCTTCTCTTCTTGAATTGATTTCTAGGTATCTAATTGTTTAATTCTTGAATTCGTTCCTTTAAATTCTATGTTTCTTTATTTTTTCTATTTGCAATCTATATTTGATTCATTTTGGGCTTCTAATGTTTCAACTATCCTTTGTCTCTTAATTCGAGTAAGACATTCAATATGTGTTAAATTTAGTTAATATTTTTAAATTAAAACTTTGTTGACGAATTATTTGTTACCAACTTGCCAATTATACTAGTAAAAGCCTAGCATAAGTAACTCCAAGCAGATTTGTAAATATATGAGATTCATTGTATTTTTTGTATGCTCAACTCAAATTTATACATGCTCCATTGTATTTTTTGTATGCTCAACTCAAATTTATTCATGCTCCACTGTATGACTATGATGTCTAGTTAATACTATGATGTTGCTTGTTGTTTATTAACCTGTCGCGACTTTTTATAGGCCGTGAGTTACTCTTTATGTTTTGTTAATTCTGCTTATTATGAGTACCTAATCTACCTATGTCCATATTTATGTGCTCATTTGACTGTTTCAAGTGTTGTAACCTCTAAGAGATTAACTCATGTCAAACGTCTGGCTTGATCAGTAAAGATTACCGTGAAGTAGAATGAACTAGGCACAGGGGATGAACAGATTCTTATTACTAAGGTCTAAGGATAGGAGCTGCAAACTAGTTATGCAGGAGTGTTGCAAATGTGTAGCGTGAGTTCATTCACAATGTATCACACAATTTTGGCAATGTAAAGCACATCTGTTTTGTAATTTTGTACTGAATGTTACTTAAACTCTTTGTTTCACTTATATTGCACGCGTTTCACCAACAATAGTCCATAGCTCATCATGGGGTGAGTTATGTGTATGGACACTTATACTCTATGCGGAGCGTTTTGAACTATATATAAGAAATCTGATGTACAATGCATGCCAAAGAACTTGTGCCAGCTGATATTAAATGTTTCTTATGGGATCGATTATAGGCTTTATAGAATGAAAGTTGCAACAGATCGATTTCCTTGAGCTTTCATTAGTTTCAGTTCTTTCCTCAAATTCTCCTGCCTAAAGAAACCACAAATATGTTTTATCAAATCATTATCTTGCAATTTGCAAGAGGAACAATAAAGTGAAGTTTCATTCAAACATGCAAGTTTGCGAACCATAAGAAACTAAACTTTAATTATATGTTGTGACATCATCACTCATAAGGAGATAATTATTGTAATTTCTTTCATTAATCTATGTTTGTATCGTCAATTAATACTCAAATATCAATAACTAAAACCAAATAATGTTTTGTTGGTATAATACAATACCATGTTGGTATGCTATCAATTTCATAATTTAACAATCACACTCATTATAAACGAATTTCTAAATAAGTTACAATTTTAATAATAGTGCATGGCTAATGATGTCCATTTTGCAAACGTTTCAAGATGATGTCACAAAACTTGTGATATGTAGAAACCAGAAAGAGGATTCCAATGAAATCACGGAGTCAGAGCTAGTAGATTTGGATCCACATTCACGCTCAATGAACAAACCTGTAACATAAAATGAATCACGACGTGTTATAAAATGACAATAATACAAATCATAATTATCCATCCATATAATATTTGCATTTTCACCTGAATCTATGCTCCCACTATTTTAAAATAAATGTCCCAATCAAATTAAGCACATATATGACAACACAAAACTTTGATAAAAAAATTATCTTTGATAATCGATAAATATAAATTGAAGAAAATTGATATCTAGAAACTATATATTAAGACAGTTTTAACAAATACTTATATACGGAGTAATTATATATACTTTTCCTTATATATATAAATCACTAACATTGGTCAACGTAAATTTTGTGAATAGCGCAAAGAAAGTCAAATGGGATATTTATTTTGAAACAAAGAAGTTATAATTTCTTACACCATTATATTATAATGCATACTTTACACATTATATTGTCTCAATTACTTAAACTTAATACATTATACTCAACAAAAGAAGAATATAATTGTTCAATTCATCAATGATCAACTATGAGCATTAAGCCAATCGTAGTTTGATTCGTTATCCATTTTTATCTTCACAATTAGATCTCCACAAAAGAAAAATATAATTTTTCTCAACAAAAGAAGAATATAATTGTTCAATTCACAATTAGATCTCCACAAAAGAAGAATAGAATTCTAGTAAGTACAAATACATAATTTCACCTCAAATACAAGTCTACAACATGTATTTCTTCCCTACCAACGATATCAATGACTACTTACAATTTTCATTATTATAGATCTACAATTAAGGATATCATTTCCCTAAAAAATGAAGTTAAATATATACTATAACTTACAAGATGTAGTTGAAAGCTTAGTCCTTGCTCCTTGGATTGATGCTTCTCCTCTTCCATCTTTAACCAATTGATGAATGAATCGATCCTCCTGCTACAAAAAAAATGGAAATTATTTGTCTATTTTTTTTTCCTTTTTTGGTGCTTCAATTGATAATGGAGAGCTGACTTTTTTTTTTGTCCCTCTTTATTTCTTTCTCTTGGAATCTTTCTCTCTCTTGGACTTTTTCTCTCTCTTGGAGTCACATGACCTTTTTTTCTTTTACAATTTTGTTTTCCTTTTATTTTTTTAACACATTTTCTAATTTATTTATTAGTCCTTACTAGAGACATATTCGTCTCTAGTTGCTAGATGCTGAGACATTCCCGGGAAAAAGGGAGGGAAGGTATTATGTGGGTCCACATGATGTCATAAGGTGGTTGAGAGCCAACTAGATAGGAACTTTTGGTATTTAAGAAAAGAGTAGGTGGTAATTGCTAAAATGAAAAGAATAGTAAGTGGTAATTGTAAAATTTTCCTTAAATTTATATTTGTAAATTGTAGCCATTAAAAAAAAAAAAGAATTGCAAATTGCAGCCAAAAGTTCTTAAAATTGTAGTTCGATTCAACTTTTTTATCAGTTTACGTGTCAAAACAAATCCGGTTGAGGTTTTAGGGGCCATTTTAATTCTAAAGGGTCCCAATTAAGCTCGGAATTAGCAAAAAATAACATAAGTGCCTCGTTTTGCTTAACAAAAATGTATCGATTTGTGGGCAACTATTTTTTGCTGTAAAAACGAGGCACTTACATTTATTTTTTTTGCTAATTCCGAGCTCAATTCGGACTCGAAAGGGATAAAAGGGCCTCTAAAACCTTAACCGAATATTTTTCGACACGTAAACCGATGAAAAAGTTGAAACGGAATGCAATTGACAATTTATAAGAATTTTTGGGCTACAATTGCAATTTTTTTAAATGGCTGCAATTTGCAAATTGCTAACATTAAATGATTGCAATTTGCAAATTTTCCCAAGTGATATTCAATTTTTGAATTTATAACTATAATTGAAATGTAGAAAGGAAAAAGTTAACGAATGTTCCGATGGTGTTGGATAAAATAATTAAACTCGAAATATTAAATTAAAATGAACATTAAATATACCGATCTATGCAGATATACAATCATAATAGAGAATCAGTAAATTAATAAAAATATAAATCTAGAAAATTGTAACTCAATATTCAGTCATAATATAAATAAAAATACTTAGGGCCTGTTCACATTTACTGAACTAAATTGAACTGAACTGAACTGAATTGAGCTGAAATGAATATTTTATGAGAGAGGAAAATTATGAGCTGAACTAAACTGATTAGAGATGAACTTATATATATATATATATATATATATATATATATATATATATATATATATATATATATATATATATATATATATATATATATATATATATATATATATATATATATATATATATATATATATATATATATATATATATATATATATATATATATATATATATATATATATATATATATATATATATATATATATATATATATATATAAAAGAATAGAAAATCAGTAAAAATAATTTAAGTTCAGTAAAAATAACTTATATTATTATTTAAGGTTCCACGTGTTAGGATATATTTAAGTTAGATAACACTTTGTGAATATATTTGTATATATCTTGTTAGGAGTTTTATGGCAAGTTAGGTTATTGTTGTAAGCCTATATATATGTGATTAATGGTAAAGGCTTATCAAGCTGCTTTATCCTAAATATTTTCTTGACTTTGACATGGTATCAGAGCCTCTCTAATTTCAAGAGATTTTTGTTCGATCCTGATTTGTTATTCCATTATTTTTTTCCACAAATTTGTGAGTTTGGGGTTTCGATTTTTTTTGTACACAAAAATTAGTTTAGTCGAATTTAGGGTTCCGAATCCCTAATTTCTAGTTTGTTTATTCAAGTGTGTGTAGCGCTTGATCTGTTTGGTTAAGGTGTGCGCGTTGTAGTGTGTGTTGTGGTGTCCGATTGCTTGTTGTATGCTTCCGTCTTGTGTGTATTTTTTGGGAATTGTTCGTGTGTTGAGGAGTAATGGTTGGTGGCGGTAATCATACTTCTAAGAGTTCTTAGCAGACAAGTTCTCAAGAGGTGACTAACGATGATCGTGCTTCTGCTCCCACTTTAACTAATGATCACTGAGTGCAATTCTTGAAAGCAATTAAGACTTTTAAATCCTCTACTTCATCCAATGATAAATCATCTCACGGTAATTATTGTTCTAATGAGTGGATAATTGATACCGGAGCGTCAAAACATATGTCGGGTGATTTAAATTTGTTTTACGACTTGTGTGATATTTTATTTCCGGTTGGTTTACTTAATGGAAAAAATACTACGGCCACTAAAGAAGGAAGAATTAAACTGAGTGATCGTTTCATACTAGAAGATGTTTTATTTGTTCCTGAATTACATTGTAACTTATTGTCCGTGTCTCAATTATTAGAATAGCATGAATATATTGTTCTTTTCACTAACAAGCTATGTACTATTCAGGGCCGCACTTTGAAGAACTTGATTGGAGCTAGGGTGCAGTGTAATGGGGTCTATCTCTTCCGGTCGGTTTGTCCTCGTGTCCATCAAGCAAATTCAACAGAAGCTCCGGATACAAGTATGTTATGGCATGCATAAACGTTTAGGTCATCCTTTGATGAAAGTTGTTATGTCTTTACCTGGAGTAGCTAGTAGTAGTAAAAATAAAAAATGTGGTGTATTTGATTGTCATATTTGTTTTATGGGTAAACAACCCCGTAATTCCTTTCCTTCAAGTGTGAACAGAGCATCTGCTTTATTTTATTTGATACATTGTGATATTTGGGGTCCAAATAGAGTATCATCTAGTTGCAATGCTAGATATTTCCTTACTATTGTTGATGATTTCTTCTAGTGGCGGAGCCAGGAATATATAACCGGGGGGACGACAACTAAACATCGCGTCATTGACAAAAATATTTAAAAAAACTAAACGCAAAGATAGTTTTATAGTTAAAATTTTACAATTAAAAAAATCCACGATATATAATTAGTCTTACAATTAAAAAAAATTACATAAAGTTTAACATTAAATTATAATTTCATCATTCGAGTCTTCTTATTTTGAAAACGATCAATGATTTCTTCATCGGGAACTTGTAGGAACATTTCCTTCTCAATGAAAGTGACCAAACAATCATTCATAAATTGATCACCCATGCTATTTCGTAACTTACTTTTGACATATGTCATTGCGGAGAACACTCTTTCAACACTTGCCGTAGCAACGGGAAGAATCAACATCAACTTGATAAGCAAATATACAAAAGGATATGTCTTATCCTTCTTGGTACTAACAAGCATCATGGAAAAGAGTGTTAAGATCACGCAAGTTTTGAAATCTTTCATCATTGTGCACATTTTCCATGGATATATCAAGTTAACCTTCAAGTGTCATCAAATCAAAACTTGAAAATTCTTCGGGATAAAAAGAGGCAAGTTTGAGTACCTTTTCTTTGTCAAAAGATGAAAAATTATCTTTAGGACTTAATCAAGCCATACTAACTCCATGCTTCTCTTATTGAATCGATTATCAAGTTCGTGATGAAGAGGCAAATCAATTACCCCCAAAAATATTTCAACTCGAAAATGATGTAGATTTGTTGCTTTTTCGAAAAACCGTCGTGATCTTCCTTGAGAAACATAAAGAGAATCCATAGTAAGAACATCACTGTCTTGGTTAGTGCAAAATGAAGTAACCTTGTTTAAGAAAGTCTCCCACCCTTGTTCCCTCATTTTTTGCAATACACTTTTTGTAAAAGTAACTAGTTCCATGGCATTTACAATATCTTGCTCCTTTATTTGCAAAGCAATACACAAATCATTAGTGTAACTAAAAATAGTCAACATTAACTAAGCCAAAAAAATAAAATCAAATGACTCTAATTGTCCTAAAACAATTTGGGCTTTGAACTTATCTTCCGATGCGCCATGCTTCCCAATGTGAACAATTACCTTCAAAATTGTATAAAATAAGCGGATGATATTTACAAGACACTTGTAATGAGATCCCCAACGAGTATCTCCGGGTCTCTTCAAACCAAGTTCTTGATTCAAACCCGATCCACACAAAATTTCCCCCACTTCTATTGCTTGAGCAAGTTCTTGAGCTTGACTATTACGAATCATTTCTCTTCTCTTGCAATAAACTCCAACAACATTCAACAAGTTTGCAAGTATTTCAAAAATCAAACCACAACTATCATTTCTTTTAGCAACGACAACTAGTGTGAGTTGAAGTTGATGAGCAAAACAATGTATGTAGTAGGCTCTTGGAGTATCATTCATAATCAAAGTCTTAAGGCCATTTATTTCACCCTTCATATTACTAGTCTCATCATAACCTTGCCCTCTTATCATAGATGGAATTAATGAATATTCCACAAGTAGTGACATAATTGTATCTTTAAGAGATAACGCGGTAGTATCACCAACATGAACAATGCCTAAAAATCTCTCCATTACCTTTCCATTATCTCTATTAACAAAGCGCAAAACAAGAGCTAGTTGCTCTTTTTGAGACATATCACTTGACTCATCTGTCAATATAGCAAAGTAATCATCACCAAGCTCTTCAATTATGCACTTAGTTGTTTCTTTTGCACAACAATTAATAATGTCTTTTTTTTATCGGGGGAGAAGTCATTTGATAATTTCTGGGTGCATTTTCAAGAGTATGATAACCTACTTCCTTAACTTTTTCTCCTAACCATTTCAATAGCTCAATGAAATTACCCCTACTATAAGACTCATCACGTTCATCATGCCCACGAAATGCCAAACTGTGCTCCAAAAGAAACCTTAAACAAGTTAAAGATGCATTTCAACGAATATAATATTCACTTTTAATCACCTTACTTGCCTTTTCAAACATATTCACAATTAATTTATTTTTCCCATCTTTCAAGTTCACATGCTTCTCATAAGCAAGATTATGATCACTCTTAATTCCACCAACATGCTTCTCAAATCTTTCCAGCTTATTTCGTTTCCTAAACCCTCCATCAACAAATGCATATTGTCAACTTCACCTTTAAACAAGTAACATACAAAACAAAATGCGGCATCTTTTTCAATGCTATATTCAAGCCAATCCCATTTGTTGAACCAATTCACACTAAAACGACGCAAGCCACCCGCTTATCTTTGAGAAAATTTGTGAGTTTTTGGTAGGCAAGGTTTTTTGAGGATATAAGCCCTCCTCACCGCATTTCTTTGTTTTGAGGGATAGTCCACTATGTTAATTCTTTTTCCCGGATCATGAGGAAGAAGTTCAACATCATATATCAATTCTCTTCCTCCTCTGTTGGTAAATTACTAGTACTTGTACCACCAATTTCTTCAACATTTTCGTGATTTGGGGGGAGCTAATTGAGATTTCATTCTTTTAAACAAGAATTTTCGAAGATCGGGTTGTTTTCCCTTAGAATTGTTTGAATTAGGTGAATTGTTTGACATGTCCTAATTAAATCAATAAAAATAAAAACAATGAATCAATAATAATTCAATTACCATCATATCATCAATATTACCAAACAATTTAACACAAATAACAAGTTACAATTTTATAAAGTGAACAATTTGAAAATTGAGAACCCTAGCCTAACATTGGATTATAAAATATCAACCATTAAAAAAAATCTGAATTTAAACAATTAAAAATTCACACTTAAATAAAAAACTAGCACTTAAACAATTTAATTAAAATAAGATTTAGGATTTGGAGGGATAATTTAAAATTATAAGTTACTTACAATGAATTGGGGAAAAATCTTAAGAAAATTGACTTTTGCAATATATGGTATGTCGGTTATGCGGTGGTGACGGCAGCGTCGACGTCAACAGCGTGGTTGTCACTTGTCGGAGTCCGGCAGTCGGGTAGCAGGTTTGAGCACTCCGTAGTACGTTGTGGGAATTGGGAATAGAAACTAGAAAGCTTAATTAAAAAATAAAAATTACCTTTATACTTTTTAACTTTTATTATTGTTTTGTCTTTTAGTAAGTTTTATTGTTTTATATTTTTTGTTTGATATGATGTCAGTCCTACAACTCCTACTCCTGTTACTTTCACACTTTTATTTGTATGCTTGCCTTGGTTAGTTGGTTTTGTCAGACTTTTGTGGATTAGTCGCCTTTTGTAAGTTTTGTTTTGTTTTGTTTTTTTTTTTAAATAGAAAAATCTATAAAAAAAATTCAAAGTGGGGAGACAGTTGTCCCCCCTCCCTCCGCCCCTGATTTCTCCTGTGCTACTTGGGATTATTTGATGGTTGGTAAACATGAAGTAGGAAGTTAATTCATGATTTATATGATTTAATCAAAACTCAATTTAATAAAAAGATTAAAGTTTTACGAAGTGAAAATGGGCAAGAGTTCTAGTGTTTGAAGTCGTATTTTTGATAAGAAAGGGATAGTACATCAAACTTCATGTGTGGATACTGCTCAACAAAATGGTGGTGTTAAAAGAAAACATAAACATATTTTGAATGTTTCTTGTGCTTTACGTTTCCAAGATAAATTGCTTAAGTATTTTTGGGGAGAATGTGTTTTGGCCACCGTTCATCTTATTAATTTGACTCCGACTTCTATTTTAGGTGGAAAAACCCCTCATGAATGTTTGTTTGTGAAACCCCCCTCTTATGATGAAGTACGTGTTTTTGGGTGTTTGAGTTATGTTGTGAATAATTCTCGTGGTAAAGATAAATTTGACTCGAAATCTAAGAGGTGCATATTTGTCGGTTATCCTTTCGAAAAAAAAGGTTGGCGTTTTTATGATTTGGAGTCTAACGAATTTATAATAAGTCGTGATGTTAAATTTATTGAAGACAAATTTCCCTTTATTGAGCAGTTTGACGAGTTAGAAAAGGTGCAATGGGAGAATTATTTTAATCATGCAAGTTCGTTTATGGGATGATGAAGATTATGTTAGTGATTTGCATTCTTTTTCACCTACTGTACCTGAAGTTAGTAGTGCTTGTGATATGGATTTAATGCATGAGTTGCATGCTACTGTTGATCCACGTATAGTCAGTGAGGGTAATCAAACTTTGCATGTGCCTAGTAATGTTCCTTCTGGTGATGATGTTGCTACTGCCTCCCTTGACTTAAGGGGGAGTATGGGTACTCATAGTGATGTGGCAGGGGGTAAAACTCCCAATAATGGTGAAGTGTTGGGTCGCGGTCATCGTATCAAATTTCCATCCTCAAAGCTCCGTGGTTATGTGACTAATACGGTTGTTCATCAAGCAATAGACCCCACTCCTGCAACAACTGCTCCCGCTTCTCAATCACTTTCTTCAGGTAAATAATTTGATATAGCTTTTTATGTTGATTATAACAATTTTTCTAGGAGACATAAGTGTTTTCTGACAGCAGTTACAAAGGGTAAAGAGCCTTCCTCGTTAAGGAAGCTGTGAAACATAAGGGTGGCGTAAGGCGATGAAAGAAGAAATTGATGCTCTTAAACGAAATGGCACGTGGACATTGGAGGACTTACCTCCAGGTAAGAAGGATATTGGTAATGGTTGGGTCTATAAAATTAAATATACTTCTACAGGTGAAATAGAGCGACTTAAAGGTCGTCTTGTTGTGTATGGCAATCGACAAGTTGCAGGTGTTGATTATAATGAAATTTTTGTCCCTGTGGAAAAAATGGGGACTGTTAGACTTTTTATCTCTGTTGCTTCTTCTTTGAATTGGGAGCTGCATCAAATGGATGTTCATGATGCCTTTCTTCATGGATATTTGGCAGAGGAAGTATATATGCAGTTACCTCCCGGTTATAATTGTCCTACTCTAGGGAAGGTTTGTAGGCTGCGTAAGTCTATATATGGTTTGAAACAAGCTCCTCGTCAGTGGTTTTCTAAATTGTCTAACGCTTTGAAATCTTATGGTTTCAAGCAATCATATGCAGATTATTCTTTATTCAGTTATATTGGGGTACGGTCTTCGATCCCTTCATGTTCTTGTGTATGTTTATGATCTAATTGTTGCTGGGTCGTCTCATGATGCAATAATTTGTTTTAAAAAATATTTGAGTACTTGCTTTCATATGAAAGACCTTGGCGTGTTGAAGTATTTTTTGGGTATTGAAGTTGCCCGTGGTCCGGAAGGTATATTTTTGTCTCAACGTAAATATGCTTTGGATGTATTATCTGAAGCAGGAATGTTAGGTTGTAAGCCTATTGATACTCCTATGGAGAAGAACCATCGTTTGGCATATGCCGAGGGGGAGCCATTCTCCCAACCTGATCAGTATCGTCGCTTAGTTGGGCGAGTTGTTTATTTATCTGTAACTCGTTCAGAGTTGAGTTACTCTGTTCATATTCTTGCACAGTTTTTGAGTAACCCGCGAGTGCAACATTGGGATATGATGCCACAATCAGAGTACTACGCTATATTAAAGGTAGGTCAGGGTATATTGTTACGTCCTATGAAGGACATGTGCTTGACGGCTTTTTGTGGTAGTGATTGGGCGGCATGTCATCCGACTTGTCGTTCTTTGTCTGGTTATATGGTTTTTCTTGGTCGTTCCTCTGTCTCATGGAAGACTAAGAAACAACTGACAGTTGCTAGTTCTTCTTCAGAAGCTGAGTATCGTGCTATGACAGTTACTACTTGTGAATTAAAGTAGTGGTAGAAATCTTTGTTGTTCTCTCTTGGTATTTTGCATCCCAAGCCTATGAAGTTGTATTGTGATAGTCAATCTACTCTTCACATTCCTAAAAATCCTGTTTTTCATGATCGTACTAAGCATATAGAGGTGGATTGTCACTTTGTTCGTGATGAGTTGGTGAATGGTAATCTAGCTACTGCGTATGTTCCTACAGGTCATCAGTTAGCAGATATTTGGACGAAGGCACTTGGGAAGCGACAGTTTGGTTTTCTCCTTAACAAGTTGGACATTCGTGATTTACATGCTCCAACTTGAGGGGGAGTGTTAGGATATATTTAAGTTAGATACACTTTGTGAATATATTTGTATATATCTTGTTAGGAGTTTTATGGCAAGTTAGGTTATTGTTGTAAGCATATATATATATATATATATATATATATATATATATATATATATATATATGTGATTAATGGTAAAGGCATATCAAGTCGTTTTCTCCTTTTTTTGTTTTTGTTTTTTTTTTTAAATATTTTATAAGGATTTTTTTAATGTTTTTCTTTTGGGTTTACAAAATAATTAATTAAAGCTAAAAACAAAAAAATACTGATGTTTATCTTTTTATTTGTTCAGTTCATTCTCCAAACAACGCTTCATTCACTTCCCAAAATCTCTAATGTTTATCTTTTTATTTGTTTAATTTATTCTCTAAACAACACTTCATTCACTTCCCAGTTCAATTAATTTCTACATCCATTTAAGATATTTTCATTTCACAACTACCTTCTGTTTATCTTTCTTTTTTTTTTGTTTCCAATCTCTCTTCCATTCTTTTTACCCCAAATCATTTTTCTCATCCCCTACTCATTCTTAATAACTACATAATTCATTAGTCTAATATTACAAACAAAATAAAATAAAATTACAATGAAATTCATGATTTTGTATATATTTTAGGAAAATTTGTCAAAAATAAAACGACCTTTCAGCATTCTTCCAAAAATAAAATGACCTTTTGATTATTCCAAAATAAAACGATCTTTGATAGTCATCTGCTCAAAATAGTACACTACTGGTTGACGACCTGCTTAACAGGTTTTTGTGACATGTGTCTCAATGCGATAGGTAAGGTTTTTTTTTTTTTTTTTTTTTTTATTTTTTATTTACAATTATCTTTCTAAAAAAATAATTAATTTTTTAAAAATCACCCAAGTACCCCCAACGGCTAACCCCCAACCTGCTACAACCCCAACTGTAGCCCTCCACCCCTGCCGTCGTCGCGAAGTCAACCCATCCCCTCACCCTTGCCATCGTAGCAAACCCAACCCAACCCCAAGCCTTCGCCCCTGCTGCCGTCGGCAAACCCATGCCAAAACCCCTTGTTATATTGGCAAATCGCACCTAATTCCATATTTTTTGCGTGGGATTTAACGATTGGGGTTTGTGGCTTGGTTG